TGTCAGTACAGTTTAAGATGGCTAACAGTCTGGACTGAAAAACACCAAAGGCTCTAACTCAGTTTTACAGATGTGGATTTAAACTTGATGAGGTAGTAGCAGAGGCTGATCCTCAACACGTATTTTGAGCACCGATTGTGCATGATCTTTGTTTGAAATGTTAGTTAGTCATCTGTGACTGTCTGTTAGCAAAATATCCCATGAACCACTGAAGATTTTTTAATGAAACTTTCAGCAAACCATCAGTGGATGTGCCTCTACAATCGAATACCTTTTGAGCCAACCCAATTCAACAAGGCCTCCACAGCCAGCTAACATTGAAAAAATAAACAATGGTTGAAAATTCACCCAGTTTGATAGATATTGAGCTACGATTTGGTGTGACAGTAGCTGAGAGTTTGCGCTCCAACAAGCACACTAAGTGCTACTCATTATGCAAAAACTTTACTTAAAACCTTTGGCATTAACAGTTGAAATCAACATTGTCTGTCTGTTAGCAAAATATCTCAAAAACAACTGGACAGAAGTGATTGAATCTTGCAGAAAGTAATTAATGGTTGTACATCTATAACTGATTAACCTTTGGAGTCAGCCCAGTTCAAGACAGCGGCTACAGCCACTCAGCATTACTCAACAGACGTTTTGCTTTGTTGACTCATGTTACGTGCTGCTGTTTTGCTGACTCATGTATTGTGCTCTGTGTCCCATGTCAGGTCCTGATGTGCGGCCTCTGCTTCCTTCTGCTTTTTCTGGGGAATTTCTCCACCACGCTCGCAGTTGTGCGTCAGAAGCTTAAAGGCAGGAATCAGAAACCAAAGAGCGCGTGACGCATGAAACACAACCCCGCCTGTGAGAAATATACAGTATATATATATATATATATATATATATTTTTTTTTTTTTTTTACATGTTAAAATATTGAGGTTCATCATCATTCCATCCTACCTCTCTGAGCAGCTTCACCTCCTGCTGATCTTCTGCTCCTGGAGGTGCCAAGGTCCAAACGGAGGCCCAGAGGGGACAGAACTTTCATGGATGATCTCTCTCTTCCCATCAGTCGAGCTCCTTCACCGTCCACTTTTAAAACTCCTTAAAAACACATTTTGATTCGCTGGCTTTGAGTCGTGCTCCTGTTTTTATTGGTCTACTAATGATTTAACTGTTTTTATGTGTTTTCCTGTACAGCACTTTGTTGCAGCTGTGGCTGTTTTAAAGAGCGTTATAAATGAAGGATTAGTAGTAAATACTGTGGAATAAACACTGCAAGAGCAAACTCACTGTTCAATAGAGAAGATTTTTTTTTTGGGGGGGTGAAATTGCTTAATGTGCTTATTTTGCTCGTCTAAATATGTTTTGACTGTGTGTGTTTAACAGTTTATATATAAGAGATACAAGGATGCAAACTGTTTGTGAATTTTATTGTTAGATAATCCATTAAAAATGCATCATGCAGCAATTTAATGAAAATATTTAATTATATAATAAACTCTAAGAATGGTTGGAGCATTACTTTGGCAAATGATTTGAAACCGTGAACATGACATGAAATGCAAAGTTAATGGAGACAAAGGAACAGTTTTTATGTTCTCAAATAATAATCAGTAAACAAATAAGTACAGATATTGGTTAAGAGTAAATATAAAGTGAAAAACATCTGTCACACATGTGGTTTTGGTAGGGTAGTTTAAAACAGATGTGCGTTTTAAAATAATAGTTCAGGTTTTATAAAGTGCAGTTTTGTAAAAAGGCCACGAACAATCAATGTCTTATCTGTTATCGATAGCTCTGAGCTGAGACCTCAACAACATCGGTCCTGACAACGTCATAGTGCTTTATGCTAATGTAGACACCGTGCACGGCTGTCATTTGTTCAATATTTACATGAGGTCAGAGCATCTGCATGTGCAAACAGCAGCAGCTAGCTGTAGCGCTTCCAGTGCAGCCTGGGGCACTTCCAACAGACGTTTTGTACTATTTCTGCAGAATAATCTGAATGATGAATAATGAAGTGGTGATTAAAAAATTTTTGAATATCTGAAGCGTTTCTTTACACACAGTTTTACTGAATCTGTAGCCAAAAGTATGATCAAAGCCACTTTTATGTAGAGTTTGTTTAGTTGAAGCCAACTCAAGTTAAATGATCAACAATTAAATGGTCATAATTCTGTTCATTTGACAGATTTTCAGCTAAAATAGACTGATCCCCAAACACATATATATTTTGAGCACAAACAGATTACATCTGTCTTTAAATATGTTTTGCCATTAACTGTTTGGAGTGACTTCTGTTAGGAAAATATCTTACGAACCACATGACTTTCAGGAAATATTCATCAATATAAAACTTGACTCATTTTTGGAGTCATGGTAATTTAAGATATAACAAGGTTAAATCTAGTCATCTGGATGAAGATTATCCAGATTAACCTTGCTAGATTTTTCAGGACATTAATTTAAGATGGCCAACACGTCCAACTAACCTTAGAAAACACAAACATGCCTATAATTCAGTCAGTTTTACAGACATGGAGCTAAAATTTGGTGTGGTAGTAGCTGAGAGTCATTCACAACACATACTTTAGTCGTTCCTCTATATATTGCTCATTACTTTGCTAAAAGATGTGAATACAGCTGCACCCTTTGACTGTAACTCGGCGTATATACCGAGTATGAGCCCCATGTTCGGGTCGTAGGTTTATCACTGCCATGTCCTTGGCTCTGTGAGCATAAACACTTTAAGAGGACGAGCCTGTGATGAATCTGCTTTTCTTCTGTCGGCCCTGCTGCTTTCGCATTGCATAACCATGACCCTTTCCCTGCTGCACCTTGACGGTCACTTTACAACGCGGGGTGTTCAGAGATGGTGTCGACCGGTCTAAAATATTAAAACGAAACAACTGTTTCACAAATCCACACAAAAAACATCTAAAATAATTGTATTTAAACGTTTATATGTAATTTATTTAAAAGTGAAAGCAAGACTATGCGAAATGAATTACACTCCGTAGTCTAACACCCCTCCAACGTGATGCAGTTGGTTTGACCCTTTATAGCGAAAAGTTTCCTTCCGCGTTGAGCTCAGTCTGACGCGAAACGGAGAAGAGAAGGTAAGCGTCACATTTTAATCATTCCGTCCTCCGTACTCTGTGGCAGTCTCCAGAGATTACACGGCAGCACCGACTTTACAGGTAGCTTCCTTCAAACATTAGCCTTAGACGAGCGTGGTAGTTAAACGCAAATTGACCGGATTTACCTCATGGCACGACTTGTCAGTCTCACTTTAATACGATAATTTGTAATGTAATTTATCAAGCCTTGAACGTGTTAACTTGTATTATTTCTCTGAGTGAGCTGTCTTATACCTATACTGTGTTGTCACGTTCCAGGACGTAGTCACGGCCCGGTCTGCCGCCGGTTTCTTCATGTTTCAACAGACTGTTGGCGTTATGCCGGGAGAAAAATTAAGCTTCATAAAATATAAAAAAAACTGAAAGAAAATACTTCATCTGGTGTGTCACTAACTGTTACACTTGGGACTCCACAAAAAAACCGGCTGAGTATTTTTTATTTTTTTCCTGATTTGTGTTGAACTGTCAGGTCGACCTCCATTAAGTAAACATTTATTTACACATAGTGACAGCCACACATATCTGACACGTGAAAACACCGCGTGTTAGTCAGCACATCATTCAGTTTTTAGTCAGAAATTATATTCACTTTCTCAACTGAATAGGTTTTTATTTTTACTTGGATTCTGGAACATTAATTAATCAACCATGTAAGCTTTGAACTCTGACTAGTATTTGAGATAGAACTGCTTAAAATGGATATATATATATATATATATATATATATATGTCCCAATTGGTATGATGTGTGTAATGGAAAAACAAAAGGACAAGTTGCCATATATGAAACCTGTTAAAACATTACCTGTCTTTTTGTGTTGCCATGGCACACACTGAACTTAGATGCTGGTTCTGTGGGGACAACTGGTCCTGTGGGGACAACTGGTCCTGTGGGGACAACTGATCCTGTGGGGACATCACCAAGCAGTACAGAGCGTTTAGTAATAAGCA